TTGCTAAGAAAGTATTTTAATGATTGACGACATATTTGCTTTTTAATTGTGTTGTATTTAACTATTTTTAAACAACTGAAGTTGCAAAAAATTGACGTTCGATTTTTGAGATTCGATAGAAGTAAATAAATATTACGCTGTCATGTTCAATTTTCATCGATGATTTTATATAAAACAAGTTTTTTATTTTCTTTATAAAACTCATAAAAGACTTTGGGGATTTTATAATAGACTGAAACTTGTAAAATTATATTTTTTTAGGTCTCAAAGTACTGTCCATTTTTGCAATTTTTGTCCTTTTTTTGTTATTATTTGAGGTTTTTATAAGCATTTTTTTGTCTATGTTCCAAGACTCACTATTCTTGAAAGTCAAAAGAACTCACTATTCTTGTAACAAAAATTGCAAAAATCAAATATTCTCGAAAACCAAAAGTATTCATTATAAATTATAAACGGAACAGAGAAAAAAAGATTTGTGAAAATCTCAAATAAAGACCTAAACTTGTGGAACAAAGCTGCCGCAAAACCTTGTATAATACATTTCTAGCTCTTAAAAACCATACGTTTATGTTTTGTATTACCAACTTAAAAAAAGAAAATTTATCGGGGCCAAAATTATAAAACTAAACTATAACCAAACCAAAAATTTGGTTTACTCATAATTTCGTTAAGAAAAATAATTTGTGAATCTATGTACAAAACTTGGAAAAACCAAAAACCATTTTAAGCATATTTGAAATTCATTGTTCGCCAAAGTAAAAAATGATTCTGGTTTGGTTATGAACTATTTTTATAATTTTGGACTAAAAATCATTCTGTAATTTTTCAACTTTTAATTCTTAATTTTGATTTATGTTTTATATACCAACTTTAAAAATTAAAAAAAAAAAATTATCAGGGCCAAAATCTTAAAACTAAACTATAACCAAACCAAAAAATATGGTTTACTCATAATTTCGTTAAGAAAAATGATTTGTGAATCTATATACAAAACTTGGAAAAACCAAAAACAATTTTAAGCATATTTGAAATTCATTGTTCGCCTTTAGATAAAATCTTGGATGAATATATAATTTATGTGTGTTTGGCAAAACTAATACTAAGCTTGTAACTGAAAGTTTTACTGCCGTTAGTTGTTAGATAATAGCTGGAACATGTAGTTTTTATTTGTATATAACTATTTAGCAAAATTCTAAGAATAACTAAGTTTTTTTGAAATGTATAAAACTACATATAATGACAATTGTTTATAAAAAAATAGATATACAAACATATTTTTAAGAGTAATCTTGTTATTATAACATGAAAAACTTTTTGTTAAGAAAGGTCCACTTTTTTTTTTTTTTTTTTTTTCGGAAAAGAAATTTCCCTAACGAGGATTTTCGGACCAGCTTTTGCACACCGACTAATCCTCTGCTGCAAATATGAAGCTTTGCCTAATGCCATAAAATCACTGCAGACGACCATTTTAACAACAAAAAAAAAACACAAAACAAAATAATAGCACATTAAATCACAAAAATCACTGGTTAACTACATTTATAGAATTAGTACACCAGGCAACATAAAAAAAACACAAAACAAAATAATATTGTTTTGTGTTTAAATATTTATTGACTTGATTATAAATTAATGTAGAATTTGGCAAACCAATCTGCATTGTTACTGTGTGGGGTGTCAATGCTTTACCAAAATTGAAGTTAATTACAATATACTTTTATTGCATGTAAAAATAATATATTTTCTAAATGCAGGAAACACTATTTACAAGAGTTTCTAATTGCAGGAAACACAAATAGCAATGTACTTTTATTGCATGTAAAAATAATATAATACATTGCTGGAGTTGGTATTTTTCTGGTTCAAATGACCATATACCCTTAAGTCGCACACATGCACAAATAGCAATGTACTTTTATTGCATAAAAAATAATATAGTAACACACATGCGCATTAATACACAAAAATCATTGGTTAACTACATTTATAGAATTAGTACACCATTTTGGCAACAAAAAAAAACACAAAACAAAAAATAAATATTTTTTAAAGTAAACATTTTGGCAGATAATTTTAAGAGAACACAAATTTGGTAAACCTTTTTTTTCAAGACATACCTATTTGCACATTTCTCACCATTCTAAGCTCCTCTTAAAGTTATGTATATGGATACTTAATTAACAAGAGATTAAGTATTAAATAAGTCTGTTAACTAGTAATGGCGAAAGTGAAACAAAAATATCATTTGTGGCAAATGAGAACCTTGGTTGTAAAGTTAAGGAGTTTTGAGGTAATAACCGTAAATTTAAGGAGTTTTGAGGTAATTACCCTTTTTGAAAAGCAAATACAACTTTACAGTTGAGAGTAGCCTTGTCGTGATCATTAACTCTGTGTATACGTAGGTGCTGTTTGTTTTTTGGAAAAAACCTCTTCAAACCTCTTACTGCTGCGCGGCGCAGCACACGCGCAGCACTTTTCATCTCGCAGTTGTTTGTTTTTTAGAAGTCTTCCGAGTCAAAAACCTCTGCGCGTGCTCTGTTTGGCGGCGCAGCACACGCGCAGCACTTTTCATCTCGCAGCTGTTTGTTTTTTAGAAGTCTTCCGAGTCAAAAACCTCTGCGCGTGCTCTGTTTGGCGCAACACTTGTACTGCCTCTTCCACCCTCTTTCAACCTCTTCTTCTTCTTTTTTTATTGCTGAAATTTTGATTATATGTTATTAAAATTTTATTTCACATTTTTTTCCCTTTTTTTTCGTTTATTCTTATTGAATTTATTTTTCATTTTTTTTTATATTCAATAATGATAATTTCTTGATGAAATATCATTATTTTTTTACTGAAAATATCTTTATTTTTTTTTGAAATATCATTCTTTTTTACTGAAATATCATTAATTGTTATCGAAATGTTATACATTATTAAATTTTACGTATTAAAAAGCTATTTTCGGTTTATAAAATTAGTTTATTTTAATTTTTTAATATTTGCAACAGTATGCAGATGTTAAAAAAACAAACACGCTTCTTATTATAGTCTGCAGCCGTTTGGTCCACCTCTTCTACTGCAGAGGGTTGCAGAGGTGGTCCGTAGACTTCTATTTGTGGCAAATGAGAACCTTGGTTGTAAAGTTAAGGAGTTTTGAGGTAATAACCGTAAATTTAAGGAGTTTTGAGGTAATTACCCTTTTTGAAAAGCAAATACAACTTTACAGTAGAGAGTAGCCTTGTCGTGATCATTAACTCTGTGTATATGTAGTCAATCTTGCTTCCTTCACAAACTTCACCACTCTCCCCTATGTTTTGAGGTAATAACCCCTTTTAAAAAGCAAATACAGGTTTACAGTAGAGAATAATCTTGTTATGGTCATTAACTCTCAGTATACGTAGTCAATCTTGCCTCCTTCACAAACTTCACCACTCTACTCTCCGATTCTACACTCTAGCCATCCGCCACTGGATCACCAAGCTCCAATCTTGCCTCCTTAACAGTAAAAAATTAAAGGTTTTCGCTCATGCAAGTATGCTTCCAATCTCCACATTCTCTCTTTTCCTCGACTTCACTGTAAAAAATTAAAGGTTTTTGCAAGTTATTCTCTGACTCATAAAACTTTTTTTCCCTAATTTGAACCGCAACCTTCATGTTTTCTTAAAATTTAAACCTTAATTTGAACTAAAATTTAAACCCTAATAAATATATAGGTGGGCTTGATTGGCATTAATTTAACAAGCATTTGCATTCCCAAAGAAAGATCCACTTAAAATAATTTGATTTGATTTTTATATTTTTTATTAAATACTATCCGAAGTAACTTTTGTATTAAAGATTTTTTTGTTTAAAATGAAACCTAAAGTTCTGAACGAATGTTTTTAATTTTTTTTTCTTAAAAGCTAAAAACAAGAACTTAAAAACTAAAAGACAAAGGCTCTTAAAAACCATAAGGTGGAACAAATCCTTATACATCTACAAAATTTAGTTTACACTTACACTTTTACCAACACTCTATCCTCAAGAAACTTTAGAAAAGACAAAATTGCAAAAATGATCCCTATGATTAGCAAAATTATGTGATTTTGGTCCAAAAAAGTTTGGTGATACACCGGTGGTCCAATTTCGGATACCTTGTGTGGTTTTGGTCCATATGGTTGGCATTTTTGTGTGCTTTTGGTCAACACCCTACCTAAAATGACGATTATGCCCTTCATTACTTATATTTTAATTTTTTAAATTATTTTCTTACTCTTTTAATTAAAAGAAAAACAAAAAAAATATATCACACCCACCCCACTCCACCCTACTTCCTACTAACCCACCTATACTCTTTCTCTCTTCCCCATCTCCGATCAACATCTCTCTCTCTCTCTCTCTCTCTCTTCATTGTTGTTGGAGACCACTACTTTCCCGGCCACCGCCGCCTGCTGAACACCACCACCTACCGGACTACCGCCGTTAGAGGATCACCACCACCACCACCTGTCGGATCTACCATGGAAGCCTCAAAAAATCCCACCCTCTTTCTCTCTGCTTTATCTTCGATCACCATCTATGAGACGGGAGAAAGTGGTTGCTCAACACCTAGAGAACCGATCTACGAGACCACTGCAACCGATCTAATTGTTGCCATGGTGTTAATTTCTATGACCTCCACTTTTAGAGGATCTGAGATAGAAATGACAGTGAGAGGATGATGATGATCAATTGTACAATCGATGATAGGAGCAACTATTTTTTAGAAGTCCACACCTTCAACACCGTGGGTAAGGGTGAGGTTGTGAGCTATTCAGGTTCAGTAGCATCCATGGATTTGCTTTAGAACTGATTCAACCCAAAACAATTAGTCGGGTATGTGATCTTCAACCCAATGTAATTTGACCCAGCGATACCCGATCGACTCCCTTGTAGCTCGAATTGTTAAAGTAGAGAACGATGAAGTTATAATATTGCACAATTAAAGCTCATAAAACCCAAAATTTATTACAAACAAAATTGATTACAAGATCACCATGGCTCAATCCACATCCATTTCCTCTAACAAATCCTTGATGAGGTTGATTCTTCAGCTCTCCCGATCTGACCCTAAGAGACACCCAAAGGAGATGAAGGTGAAGAGCACGCAGCTGGTCAACGAAATCACCGATACCCAAAACTTGCCTTTAGAACTGAACCGGACACCCACAATCCATCGTCTTCAGCAGGAAATCACCGAAGGTCAACGACATGTACTAACAAACATCGCTCCGATATCTGGTGATTTCCAGCTGTGAGCACTCTTAAGAAGTTGAATCTGAAGGGTTATTAATCGGATCTGTTCTTTGGTAGCGATAATGCAACAAAAATGAGTATAACAAAAACCGAGAGATTGTCGGCGGTGGAAGGCTTCTACAGACGACGCCGATGATGTTCAAGGGTCTTTTGTATGAAGGCTGTAGGCGGAGGAAGGGAAAAGGAATATGGTGGGTGGACCTTTTCTCATGTTTCAGTAATTAAAAATATTTTGTGAAATATAAAAATAAAAAAAATAAATATAAGGGCATGACAGTCTTTTCAAGCTGATAAGGACCAAAAACACTAAAAATATCTAAAATTGGACCATTGGTACACCACCAAAAGTTTTTGGACCAAAAGCACATATTTTTGACAAACACAGTGACCATTTTTGCAATTTTGTCTTTAGAAAACAAAAAATGATTTCAGATGTGTACAAGGCGTAAACGTAACTTCTAGTAAAACATTTCAAAGCACAAAACACATGAACATAACTGATAACACAACCAAAAAATAACGCAACTAACCAATAACCTATTAAAACATTAAACCACATCAAACATACCATAACCAAACAATGGCTCCCATTCCCATTCTTTTAAAAAAACCTTTCTTATGTATTTGTACCCTATCCCTATGCTTCATACTCCAATTAGCCACATCTCACAAACACGACCCACTATTACAAAGGTACGAAAAATGGCTCCAAAAGTATGAAAGAGAATACCAAAGTAGAAACGAGTGGCAACAAAGATTTGGAATTTACAAATCTAATGTCCAATTTATCGACTATATTAATTCCCAAAACCTTTCCTACAAACTCACAGACAACAAATTCGCAGACATGACAAATGACGAATTCAGCACTTTTTATTTCGGTTATAACAGTCATCAACATTCAGATTCAGATTCAGGTTCAGGTTCGGATTCAGACAAACCTGAACCTGGACCTGAACCCAAACCTGGTGATTTGCCAAAAAGTGTGGATTGGAGAAAAAGAGGCGCAGTGACTCATGTCAGAGATCAAGGCCATTGCGGTATTATAATTTTTTTAATTTTTATTTATCTGTTAAGGGTTTTAAAATAGAACTATAATAAATAAAAATTAACTTGATTGAGTTTTGAATTTTTTTAAAAAATTAGCGTAATTTGATTTATACAAATAAAAGTGATTCATAATTATAACATCTCATTTTATTCCATCAAATAAAATAAAAACTGTAGGAGCTTGTTGGGCATTCTCTGCTGTAGCAGCAATCGAAGGCATCAACAAAATCAAAGGCGGCAATTTGACAATTCTATCCGAACAAATGCTTGTGGATTGTGATGTCAACAATGGTGACAAAGGATGTCGCGGGGGTATAATGGAGAAAGCATATAACTTTATAAAAAAGAACGGTGGAATCACTACAGCACAAGATTACCCATATGTAGGAAAAGACGAAGGTTGCAAAAAACTGAAAGCTCAAGAACTTTCAGTCATGATAAAAGGATACGAACTATAAAAAATAAAGATGAGAAAAGTCTACAATCTGCGGTTGCAAACCAACCCGTATCAGTTGCCATTGCTGCTGGTTTTTTATTCCAGCTTTACGGAAGTGGGCTTTATTCGGGCCCATGTGGGACCCACCTTAACCATGGGGTAACCGTGGTTGGGTTTGGGGAAGAAGATGGAAGAAAGTATTGGATTGTTAAAAACTCATGGGGGACTGATTGGGGTGAAAATGGTTACATGAGAATTGAAAGAGAGAGTAAAGATAAAGGAGGTAAGTGTGGGATTGCAAAAGACTCTACTTACCCTGTACTTATATGATTATATATAAAAATCACAAAATAAAATGTAACTATGAATCTATGATTAATTGATTATTATATAAAGATTAAAGACAATGTCTAAGAATTAAGTTCTGTGAATCTGTTTTTAAGAAAATAAGCAATCTCCACTTGTCCAGCATCAACCAACTTTTGAAATACTTTTTGTCTAACTTTTATATGTGGTATAAACCCTTTGTTCGTCATTCTTATAGCAAATTTTCCTGCTAAAACGAATAAACTACCTTCCAAACACATCTCAACAACCAACTCATAGCACTCAAACCCAATTTCAAGATTCATTTCTTCAAGAAAATTAACCATTTCAACTGTTTTATCCACTTCTTTGTTTGCTCGCATTGACTTTATCACTTTAACCACCATCTCTTTTCTTGGAGACAATCTATATCTAGATACCATCTCCTTCATCAGCTCTTCAACTTGTTTTGTTTTTCTAAGGTCACAAAGTGGACCAATTACAGAGCTAAAGCTGTCCACATCAGCAACACAACCAGCCTTACCCATACACTTCAATACTTGAATTGCTTCATCAAACTGATCGACTTTACATAGTGAGGAAATGAGGTAGTTGCAAGTGCCATTATCGGGTTGATATCCAATCGATTTCATTTGAAGTAGAATAGTGTGGACAGTTTGATTGGGTTGTTTTCTTTGATGAAGCCATACACTTGAGAGAAGTAGGTGAGTTTGAGGGATTGGGGAGCAACCTGATCGAAGGGTGCGTTGGAGGATTGCTAGGGAGAGTGGTAGGGGATTAGGGCTTTGTAGGGTGAAAGAGAGGAGGTGGGAATAGGCAAATCGAGGGTGAGTACGAGGTCTTAAAGGGAGAAAACTTTGTAGAACTTCGTTAATGACTTTGGTTCTATGGTTTGGGGGAAAGTTTAAGAGGAATGAGAATGGATTGGAGGTTTGATTGGTTTTGTTTGAGTCGTTGAGAAGGTTAGCGATTTGTTGGTAGTTTTTGGATTCAATGGCGGATTTGATTGATTGCTCAAGTAATCGTTGTGATGAGATTGAATGGATGGGAGATGAGAAGTAAATGGAAGGGAGAGAAAAAGAATAGAGTGGTTTACATAGTTTTGTCAATGAAATTGCCATGGATTGATAATCGGAGATTCAGAGCCTCAGTTTTCTGATGAAATGTGATGTTTTTTGGCAAAGTTAGTTAACCCTGTAGATAACAATTTACTATATAAGGTAGTAAATCAAGCTTCACAGAATGAAAAATAAAAAAGAAATAAAATGTGTATGTACATGAGTTGCAAGTATATGGTGTATATTTAACATAAAAATAGTATACAGCAGGTGAAATCATATGGTGCATTTGACCAATTAACGAGGAAACCAGACCAAAAATTCTAATGAACATATAATCAAACAGTTGGTGTGCGAGTATAGTGGCAGAGTATGGTTTCAACAGCAGAAGAAAACTGTAATAGACTCATACCTGTGAAAATGACAATAACGCCAACAATAAAACCGAGAAATTGGAAGACTGATAATTGCAAGGGTTAGAGCTTGAAGATCGATGGCGAGCCTGAAGGTCGATCTTGGCAGATCGAAAAACTGGAAGATTGATGTTGGAGTTTTGGGCGAGATTGCTGATAGATGATGGATAGCCTGACGATCGATTGAGGGTATAATTGTAGCCGGCGGTAAAATGTCAGCGAGGAAGAGGCTTTGCAGAGATGGGAGTCGAAGGAGATGGAGGCATACGGTGCAAAGCTGGACTCGAAATCGGTTTTAAACGAGCCGGAACCGAGCTCGAGCTTAAAATTAAGTTCGTTTATTAAACGAGCTCGAGCTCGAGCCTATGTCATTAAGTTTGATTAGGCTCGCGAGCCTAAACGAGCCTTTACATAATATAATTTATTATTATTATATATATATATATATATATATATATATATATATATATATATATATATATATATATATATATATATATATATATATGAAAATAAGAATATATTAGAGGAATTATGGATTTAGGGTATTAGTAAACGAGCTCGAGCCGAGCTTAAGCTTATTTAGGCACGTCAGATAAAAAACGAGTCGAGCCTGAGCCCGAGCCGAGCTTGGATAATTCGTTACGAGCTCGAGCCGAGCTCAGTACAAGAAAGCTCGAATCGAGCCGAGCTTGAGCTGGAGCCTCATATAACTTAAACGAGTCCGAGCCGAGCCTGGCTAGGCTCGGGCTCGACTCGGCTCGTTTGCACCCCTACATACAGAGGAGAGGAGAGGTAAAATGAGGGTATTTTTGTAATTATATCTTGAGACTTACTTTTTTTTTTTTTTAATTACACCAATAGTCCGTTTGTAGGTTATAAAAACCACACGTTTAATCTTTATTTTATAAAAATAAATTTAAATCGTCTCTCATGTATTTAAAATTTGTACGTTTCGTCATGTCATACGTAAAGCCTTTGGCATATTTTTTTCAAATTAATCTAATGTTATTAATGATTACTTTTAATTTAAAAAATAGACAAAACTGCATAAATGGTCCCTGTGGTTAGCTGAAAATTGTCACTTTGGTCCAAAAAGGTTTGGACTAGCACCAGAGGTCCAAACTTTTTATTTTGTTGCGAGTTTGATCCACTTTCCTATTAACTTTTTCATAATGACTATTTTGCCCTTATTTTTTTTCTTTTTCAGTTTTTTTATTATTTAAATACTTTTTATGATTAAAAGAAAAAAAGAAAAAAGAAAATTTTCATTTTCTATTTTATTTTTATAATTTTTTTATAACAAAATCAAAAAATAACAATAAAATCTCTCTCTCTCTCTCTCTCTCACACACACACACACAGAGAGAGAGAACGTCACTACCCTTACTCCCTCACCCAGGCTTTACTCTCGCCGGAAATCGTGAACACCACAGGCAGAAAAGATGAACACCACCGACAGAAAATATGAACGCCACCAGATCGAAGCTCTGGCAGCGAAACCCTAACCCTAAAAGTTCTAGGCTGTGACACAAAGATCGAAGCTAGGGATTGAATTGACCGCAACCTCTGAAAACCCTAGGCTTTTAGGAAATGAGAATGGTCGCAACCTCTGAAGCTGAAGCTCACCTGAGGGTCGTTTGATGGAGCCAGGAGGGTCGAGAGATGGCGTGGTCGGTGCTAAGGCTTGTGTTCTGTTCATCTTGAAACCGTCATCGTCTTCTTTCTTCGTCTGATTCAATCGGTCAGCAACACACGAAGGAGGAATAAGGACTCTGGTCCTCTGCCTTTGTCCGATTGAGAAGAGGGACCAGACTGGAAGTAGCAACAGATTGAGGGGGATGTCTTTTTACCAACAACAATGCAATATCGGAGGCAATTGTCAAGTCTCTGAATCAAGAATCATCACCTACGACATCCATGTTCAAGAATCAATAATCATCACCAGAAAAAGTCCAAGTTCAAGAAATCAAAAACCAAAAAAAGTTTTAGGATTACTTCTCTATAACTCAAGAATCATCAGTTATGTCATCGATTCAATATTAGATCTAAATAGAGTCAAAGCTCTGTCATTTGTTTAGTGTTAAGGAAATTGGTCCATGGTGATATCAGATGTGGTAGCTGCCGCCGATTTGGAGGTTGGAGGTGAAGTTCTAAAAATTTCCTAGGTTAGGTTAAAGAAGATTATTTTGTTACATGTTCTGGGTTTGAAGATTCCCATAAATTTTATGATTTTGTTACAGGTTCTAGGTTCGAAGTACCCATAAATTTTACTAATTCTGTTCACGATTAATCTAGAGATTGAATATGAAGTTTTGAAAAATCCTAAAGAGTTTGTTGATTTCATTTGGCGATTGGATATGAACATCTAGATGATCGACTACATATTTTGATTTGTTATAGAGAGAGAGAGATAGAGAGAGAAATTTAATTTAATTATTTATTTTTTTATTTTTTTTTAAATCTAAAAATCAGGAAAACAATTAACAAAAAAAGAGAAAATCATATTAAAAACGGTAAATTCGTCATTTTGAAAAAAATCAGAATAGATTGGACCAAACAAGCAACAAAATGAAAACTTTGGACCAGTGGTGCTAGTCCAAACTTTTTTGGACCAAAGTGGCAATTTTAAGCAAACCACACGGACCATTTGTGTAATTTAGTCTATATGGCCCCGCCCACCTCACCCTCGCCCCCGTCTCTTTCCTTACCATGAAACAAAACCACTTAATCACATTTCATCGACAATTTCAGAAACCTGCAACTCCAACCAAATGCAATAAATATTTTTTGAATATCATTTGCACAAATCCAAACCCATTTCTCCAAAGCCAACACCAAAAATACTTAGAATATGAAGATAGAACATAATCGATTTTGAAATTCATTTCAGAAATCATTTTCAAGATCTTGAGTTTCCAGAAATCATATGTAGATGTTAAAACTTTAACATCTTTCCTTATTGGTCCAAAAATTGTTTGCAGATCTCGAAATCCTAACTTCGGCCATATGCAAAAATCATAGTGGGTGTTGCTCATTGTTTTTTCTTTTCCAGAAATCATGATGGTAGTCGTTAACGGTGTTCTGAAAGAAGATAGAGGTAAAAATAGGTAGTTTGGTGGTGATCTAGATGACCGAGAAGAAAGAAACAAGGCTAAAGGGAGTAGTAACACTCCTAACACCTTGGTCACCTTAAAATTTTGAGTGAAACCTTATTTTTGACAATTTAACATGTAATCTTAACATTTGGTAAGGAGTAATAACACTCCTAACATTTTTTTTTCTTTTTCTAATATAATTAAATTACTTTATTTTAATATACAAACATTTTTTTGTCACAAATTTTATTTTTTTAATATCACATACAATTAATATAATATAAATTATATTATTTTAAACCACATACAAACAATTTTTATTTTTTGAAATTAATCAACAATGGAACCAGGTGGCAAGAGAGTGTAAGTAATGATAATGTTTAATAACTTTTTCTTTTTTTGTGAGAAGTTGACAGAAATTAAATTGACAATTTAACTTTGGGTAGATGGGGAATTAAATCCGGTCAACCAATTTAAGCAAGTCAAAAGCACTCGACCAATCAAAGAGCCTCATTCCTTTCTCTCTCCTTGCGCCAAACCTTTAACGAATTGCTTTGAGCGAGCCCCCTAGCGAGCACTAGAGGGTGGTATTCTCTTCTTCTTAGTGACTCTAGCGACTACCTAGCGAGCGTCCACTACTCTTAGTCTAAGCAGTAGTCCGTTGGTGGTTCAGATCGCCATAATTGCAAAGAGATTGAGGTGGTTTTTGGTACAGATGGAGACGATTTTTAGTGGAGTTGTCATGATTTCTGTTGCAACAGAACCAAGGTCATCCATATCAATGCAATGTCACTAATCTTTCAATTGTAACACATCAGTTTTGCAATGACTATTCACATCAGTGCAATAACACTCATCTTTCAAAAGTGGTCCCCATTACCACACCAACAATTACTTTATATATATATATATATATATATATATATATATATATATATATATATATATATATATATATATATATATATATTAAATCTTAATATTTACTTAATAATAAATAAACATAAATTCATTTGCAAGGCCTTTGCGATAAATAAACATACATATTAAATAGTTTCATAAATAAATAATATATATATATATATATATATATATATATATATATATATATATATATATATATATATATATATATATATATATATATATATGTATAGTCGTGTAAGTTTATGGCCTCTCAATTTTGATTATAAATATTTAGTTTAATTAAAAGCTATGTTTTATTACTAGATATACTTGATTGAAAAGAATTATTTATATGGATGGTGGACTCAAATAACGAAGTGGCATTGCAAGCGACCTTGCAACAGTTGAAAGAAGAAAGCTTATGTGGCTGCCATGGAGGTTTTGAAAGGAGAATTGAAAGGGGATTTGCAAGCCGATGCATATGCTCTAAGGTCATTGACAGGTGGTCATAATCAAGTGGAGAGAGAGGGATGTTGCAATCTTGAGAGAGAGAGAGAGAGAGAGGGAGAAAGAGAGAGGAGTGGGTGAGGGTTTGATGGCGTCGCCGAAAGTGTCTTGGAGTGACGGTGATAAGTGGTAGGTGAGTAAATTTTGTCGGCGTCAACTTCATGGTTGTCGGCTGTCAGCGGCTTCATGGTTGCAGAGGATCATTGTCAATGGTTAGAGACAGGGGCAGAGCATTTATAGGGCCAACAGAGGCTCTGCCCCCCCCCCCCCCCCCTTTCTGAAATTTGGGTTAGAAACGGCCTTATAACATCAAATCTTATAAATATAAGCCTACTATTGTTAACTTTGGGTTGTGGCCCTTCCTAATCAACTCTCCAATAGACGGAAGCCCAAACCAACTGACTAGGTAGAAGTCAAAATCGATCTTCCAATCATCCCTAAACCTTTCGCAGTCGGCATTTCCGCTACTGTCCTATCTTCGTTTTGTATCGCTTGGATGCCCGCACCTGGACACCACCTCAGCACCACTGTCGTTGTCCACAGTTCACCGAAAATCAGGTATGCTCTCCAGTTTTCTTCTTCAGTTCTCTCTGTTTCTGTTAATAGAAATTTGAAAGTAAGAAAGAATACAAATCTATGTGTTGACTAATTTGATTGAATTTAGAGTAAAAACTAAAAACTATATTTTAACAAAATCCAATACAAGCAGCATTTTATCTAATGTTTCAGAAAGAATACAAATTTGATGAAGCCATATTTGAGATTTGACCAATTTATGGAAAAGTGTAACGCCCGTAGATCTGGGCTAGTAAATTTAGAGACGATAAGCATCAAAAATAACTTTTTAATGGAAGATTATTTAGAAGGATTAATCTTAACCAAGTTGTAGTATATGTCACAAGGTTTCCGTGCATATAAAGAACGCCAAAATCCGAGTTATAACGAAGAAGTTATGACCTGTCGAAGTTTCGCGACAGAACCGGCACGACCTAGCGCGACCCAGCGCGACGTAAATAGTGAACTTAAGGTAGATAGATATCTATCCTTAGTGATCTAAACAAGAGTTTAAGATTTATTCGATAGTAGTCCAACGATAAAAAGACAGACGAAAACGGAGTTCAGATGAAGGAGTTATGAATTTCGAACGAAGTTTTCCTGTCCCGGCCTACTATAGATAATATATAACTAATATACTTATAATATATTAAAAATAAAGTCCAAATTAGCCAATGGAGTCTAAATGAGAGTTGTAGAGCATAATCTCACCTTCGCGCTGATATAAAGAACGTCGAAAACGGAGTTTGTATGCGAAAGTTATGCATTTCTGAAGTTCGGGGCGCGAAACCACAAAACTGTCAGAGACCATGACGTGGCAAGCAGTGCCACGACGTGGCAAGTCTCCTGACAGCTCCGAGAGTCCCCCATATGAAACTTGGGATGACGCATGCAGTGATGATCAAGCCCACAACGTGGCAAGGGCCAAATTTTCCCTATAAATAGATTTAAAGGGCCAGCCGACTATGGTTGCTCCATCCCTTCTCTCCCACTCCCGATACACCCTCTAAGCCCTATTTTAACCCCCCGAAGTCCCGGTATCAACCCCGAGACCCGAAGCAAGTCCCGAAGCCCGAAGATCCCGAGAAGAAAAGAGTTTCCGAGCCGAAGCTCTGCCCGCGAGAAACTAGGTGTGTGAAGTGATCCCGGTTTCACCGAAGAATACTACTTCTACAAGTTGTAGTGTTGTCCGATCATCTTCTGATCAAGTGAGTGTATAGTCCCTTTCATAAACTCGATAATAATACAAGTATTGTTTAAATGTATTAAGTATATTGTTGTTTATATGTGTGAGTGTGTGGTTACTTTCTTCTAACACATAAGTACTAAGTATTTGCTACGATATACGTGTTATGTGTTTATATATTGTCGTTTATTTAAGATAAGCATGGAATTGATGTTTTATATAGGTTTTAAATGAGTTAAACTGTATATGTATGTTATATCTACAAATATGTTGGGTAGAACATGGGTAGACAAATTAGTTGGGGTGTAATGATGGATGAGTTTGAGTATGAGACGAAGGATGAACCTTGGTAGCTATGGCTTTAGTACTGTATAGATGAACCTTGGTAGCTATGGATTTAGTACCGTATAGACAAACGTTGGTGGCTATGGATTTAGTACTGTTAGATAGACGATGGTAGCTATGGATTTAGTATTGTTAGATAAACGCTGGTAGCTATGGATTTAGTACTGTTAGATAAACGTTGGTAGCTATGGACTTAGTACCTACACTGGTAGCTATGGATTTAGTACCTAGTGAATGAACCCTAGCAACTATGGAATTAGTGCTCTATGAAGGAGCCTTAACAGCTATTGTCTTAGTGCCTAATACGGAGTGAACGAATAGATGATTCTTAGGGTAGACCCTTAAGAGTAAGGAAGATAATGGGGAAGGGTAATTGGGTTGATTGTTTAATGATTGAATATAATAATTATATTATTGTGGATTGAAAACCCTATATGCTCACCAGGATCCCAAGCCTGACCCACTCAGTTTAATTGTATCACATGTATCGATACGAAGCTGCTTTGCACTGAGAGATTAAAGGAGATGGAAATCACTAGAGTAAATGAATGTATGTTCTGTTTATGCTTATGTGTCTGTATCGGAACATGACATCCCGAGGTTTTATTATTTAATGAAAATGCATTCTCTTTGAGAAATGTTTTGATAAGTTTTCATATCTTGTTTTGGGAACAAATTCCGCAACCGTTTTCTTTAAACGGTTACTCTGATTTTAAAAACAAAGCATAAACAAATCGGTCTTTTCTGGCCATGAAATTGGGGATGTCACAAAAAGGCTAGAACTGTTTCTACATACAATATGAAACAAGAGGCATGAGGTTTTGATGGAAACTCTTTGATTGGTATAACGATTCGCCATCAAGTATTTTCTTGTTTCCGAGATAAGTTGTCGTCCTTATTCTTCTATCAATGGTGCTAACCCCAACTGTAAGGACCCATGGAATCTCGTTTGACATTGTTCCCTTAGAAGGCCCGAAATTACCTGTCGAACAGCTCACAAAGATCTCTTTCTGTATGGCTTTAAAGGCGCTAATTGCAAGAGAATCTCGATAGAAGGGTACAAAGCTCCACCAAATGAAATTGAAAGCACATCAACCCCATCTCCTATAGTTGCATCTATCCCTGCTATATTATCGCTTTCAGAACAATATTAGTGATTGCATACTTTATACATGGCCAAGTGTGCTAGTATCTTGAAATTTAATATCACAATATGCATTTCTAATTGTAGAACACTTGACTTCAAGAATCAAGAAGATAAAAAAAAAGTCTTCAATTTGAGCATATAAACAAACATTAAGTTCCAAACTTCCAATAGAACCTCATTCTAGAAATGAGAATTCTTTTAAAAATTATAAAAATCCTTTATTATTGAATCAATCAAGTTCTTGAGAGATTTAGCAGGAAAAAAATATCATTTATTGACTTATCTATCTACACCAAACCTGCTAAAGATATTAATGAATTGTTGTAGTTTTTGTTAATTTTTGTATAAAATAAACCGATGAGTGATGAGTATTGCTAATGTCTAATTTTTTATTTTTATTGAGTGATGTATTCCTTCTTTTTGATTTTTATAGATACAATCATGGGAAAGATGAAAACCATTGATTATTTAGTGTACTTTTGGTTAATAAATTGTTAGCAGTTTTTTGTAAGTTGTTTTTCTATGTATTTTTGGTGTTTATTTGCTATTTTTTTGTGTGTGTGTGTGTAAGAACATTAAGTTTAGTTTATAACACATTCAACTCTCCAAATTAATTGTTCTGACTCCATCACTGGTTAGAGAGGAAAAAATGAAAAAGGGTTATAAGAGGGAAGAGATAAAAAGATGGGACCCATAAAATTTAATTAAAATATTTTTTATTATTAAATTAATCAGAAATATTAAAAACTTTTGAATATGACAATATAGGTATTTTATATTGTTAAAAACTAAGCATTCAACTTTTAATGACATAGAGAAGGTACACTAATTAATTTTAAAAAATGTGGAATAAAAATCTTTTTGACACATAAATTCGTGTAATTTACTCTCTTCAAAACTATGATGGGGAAGTGTTTTGCTATTAATTTTTTAACTCGTTGAATTCTTAGGTGTTGTTTGTTTTGTCTAAAAAACCTCTTCTGACCTTTTATTGCTGCGTCACGCAACACTTGGCACTTCACAACTGTTTGTTTTTCAGAAGACTTCTGACTTCAAAACTGTTGCACGTGTGCTGCGTAGTGCAACACTAAACCAGTTGCTTCAAACATATCCATGTCTTACTTTAAGTTACTGCAACAGTATGCATATGTTAAAATACAAACAAATTTTTTTTTAAATATCTCAGCCGTTCGTTCCACCTCTTCTGCTACAGAGGGTTGTAGAGGTGATCCGTAGACTTCAGACATGTTTGCTTCGAAAAAACAAACAACACCTTAAAATACCAATAAATCATTTTTAAAACACAAAACCAAATATCCTTTTAATTAAACAATATAAACCTTAAAAAATAAAGTCACCAATAAAGATTATTAAACTTCTATTTGATATTTTATTTAACATAGCTTATTAGAGTTATATTTGATATTTTTCTTAACATAGCTTATCAGGTAGTTTAATTTAAAATTATTTTATATTGTTAGGTTTGGAAAATTAAAATATAGTTTATAAGATAGTTTTTAAAAAATCCACTTAAGACAAATATTTTAATGAATTTATATAGTTTTTTTTTAAATTCTTCTAGATATATCATTTATTAGTACATAATGATTATTTCTTAATAATATATTTTTAATTCTACTTTTTTGGAATCTAATGAACCGAAACAAAAATATATGTTAAACTTAAGACAAGAAATCAATTTAATAAAACAACAATATTAATAAATAAGTGTTTCCATATTTTGAAACATAAATGTTTTTATATTTGAAGAGTTATTTATATTTATCATATGTATAATAAAACAATAAAAAAAAATTAAAACTATGTTTATCGACAAAATATATAGATAAAAAAATGTTATTAATATTTTAGTGTTGTTTTTATACACAATACTCTTCACTCAACCATATATCTTATAGTTCTTTAAGATAGTGTTTGTGTAGCGCTTAGAACACAACAGACTAGAGCAAAACATGCTGTTTGAATGCGTTTAAAGTTACCAAATACCAAATTGCCCTTATATAAAATAATAAAAACTAAACAACATAATCAACATCACTTCAAAATTAACAAAGTTTTTTGAACAAATCTTTTTCATCTATTAATTTAAACAAATTATTGTTCCGAATCAACATAACTTCAAAATTAGCAATGCTGTTAATCTATACTCTTTGAAATCCCAAATCCCAAAAATAACCAACATCAATTTGCATCTTAACCTGAATCACAATTTTCAGAGAAAGGATAGAATGAAAAAGAAGACCAATGATTGTTATGGTGACAAGTACAACCATGGTTGATTACTTAACCAGGCATATAAAAAAATTATAGGTATAACAGGGGCAGAACTACGTAGTACCTCTTAAATTTTCAGGCGCGGTGGAATTTTTTTGAGGAAAATTTCAGTGTAGTACAATTTTCTGGTGTGCTATCCTAAAATTTATAGCACAACCTGAAACAAATATTGGATTTGCTCAACACTCCATCTTTTCCGTGTGCTAGTAATGCCAAACACCAACTCAAAAAGCCTTGTTCTATTTTGTCACATTTTGTTTTACTTACCAAACGTAGCCAAAACACAAATAATAAATCACAGACGACCACAAAATATAACATTCGAGAGACATATACACCATACAGGCATACAAGATACTAGAATTTCATGATAATATTATGAAGCTAAAAATTTACTTAAACATAAATAATCAGAAAATAAAATATTTAATATTTTATTTAAAATATATTACGTATTTAGGATGGCTGAACCAAATCACCAGAAAAGTTATAAATATCACCTAATTAGGAAATAACGCCGTGCCGCCGCGAAGAGAGCAACTCGTTTCAATGCTATTATTTTGTCTTTGTCTTCACAAATAATATCTAATTATATTATAAATTATAAATTATAAATATAAGATAAATTAACTCTTTGGTTAATTTGCTTCCAAATTTACGATCCTAATCTTGCATATACACCGTGGCATCAACGTCAAACGAAACTCCTCCACCATAAATATTACATGTAAACAATTTAACTTCAAAATTAACCAAATCCCAATGGGTGATTCACCCCTCTTTATGGGAATCCTCGGTGTCATATCAGGTGCAATTTTAGTAGCTTTTCTCCACTGCTTATTTGTCACTTGCCGCCATAATAACACCGATGAACCCGCCACCACCTCACCACCTAGACCACCAGAAATGAACCGCCGTCCAAGGCTTAGAGTTGACCTTGACTCAAGTGCCAGCTCATCATCGTTCCCAACAACCAGCACCTCAACCTCAAGTGGCTCATCGATCTTGTTAACCGTTCATAAATACTCGAAAGATTTTAAGGAAGGAACGTGTGCGGTTTGTTTGGGTGAGTTTGAAGAAAACGATGAAGTTAGAATTATGCCGGAATGTGCACATGTTTTTCACGTGACGTGTATTGACATGTGGCTTTTCTCACATGGGAATTGTCCACTGTGTAGAGCCAATGCTACTCCACGTGCTCATGATGTTCTTTTATCAATTTTGAATTCTAGAAATATTGAGTGAATGTTTAACTGTGTAATGTGTATACACTTTACTTTTTAAGGTTTATAAATATAAAAATCAAATCAGATGTTACAACTTACAACTTACAAAAAAGATCAAATAAGTGAAGTGATAAGTTGATTAACGAGAATTTCTCCTTCTAGATTTGGCACGTTGACGACATAGACAAAGGAAGACTAGAAAACCGATGAGAATCACTTGGACTATTATCATCGCCTTCATACCTGCAATCACTTGAAGGATGCCATTACTGAATTAATAATAAAAAAACTAATGGATCATGTCCAGAACTCAAAATCAAAGTTACTAATTTTAGTAATGATTAATGAGCAAAAATGGAAAGTGTTTGTGTTTATGTTGTGTTACCTTGGAGTTTTTGGATTGTGTCTTCACCGATTTGGCTAACTTTTTTCTGTTTAGTGTGAGGAGAATGAGAACTAAATTTATTGATTCTGGAATTGTAATTTATTGTCTTGTATTCCGAATGTCCACCCATGATACATGTATTAGGACAGATGATGATGCTATCATATTCATCGCTTCCATCACAACAGTCTGGTAATAAAAGATATAAAAAGTTCTTGTAAAATGAAGATGTTTGAAAGAAAAGTGAAAGTAGGTAAAATAAACCAATTAACATACCACAAATTTGGTCGTTTACACGAGAAGAGAATAAAAATTTAGGAGTGCTTCCTGAGTTCCTGCAATAGAATTTGGCAGCAGGGCAAGCTGATGTTCCTGCAGATCATGAGCTTTGGAATTAGAATTGAAGCTTATTCGATTCTAGCTTCAAGATTCTTTACGTCACAGTTTTCGTCATCATCTTAATCAGAAGTTCAGAACCAGAAGATTAGGTGCACATAAAAGCGAAACCCCAATTCACCAATCACCACTACCTTTACCAAACAAAATTAAAATATGATTTCAGCAGTATTGTATGTGGGTCAATTGTTGTGAAGTTAACGTAATCACCAATGTATTCTCGGAATCATTGAATTTGAGTGGAAAAGAACTTGATCGACGATTAATGTCCAAGTGTATGTTTTTTGTGGTGGACGGAGGGGTCGATTAGGGTTTGAAGTTTAAACAATACCTGGTTCATCGGTACCATCAACGCAGTCGCAAAATTCGTCGTTGATACGATCTCTAGTGAAAGAATTGGATCCATCTTTGCATTTGATGACCTCCGAAGCAAAGTACTTCTCATCTGTCAAACAAAGAGTCAAAATTAACCTAAAAATCAGCAACACATTTATATAGAAAGAACACGCGCACACGCAGATAACCTAGAGGGTGGATTCCGATAGGTACATTTGAAGGATCGGAGAATGCCAAATTCAGATTGAGAAGGAAGCAGACGATGAAGAAAAACACAGGATTAGTTGATTCCATTGGAGCCGGGATTTTGAGTAGTTTTACTCGTTCTTTGAGTTACCTCCAGTTCTCCACTAGACCTTCGAGTCTCCGATGGAGTCAACGAATGTTATTGTTATTCTACTTAAAAAATACGTTATGCATTGAAGTTTTTCTTTTGACAAAATTGCAAAAATGTCATGTGATCGACAAAACATAAAGTGGTTTTTGTCAAAAAAAAAAAAAATTGTGGCATCAAATTCTAGATCTGTGTAGGTGTGCGCGGTACGGTTTGGTGCGGTTTACAGTCAAAACCGCAAACCATACCGCATATTCGGTTTGAGTTTTTTTGAAACCGCAAACCGCACCGCAAAAGTTCAAAACCGCATTATGCGGTGCGATTTTATGCGGGCAGTTTGTGCGAGTTTAGTGCGGTTTTGCGGTTTGATGAGTTGCTACATTTTATAACTTTTGAAAAATCTAAAAACCTTTTGATCTTTTGAGATGTAAAATTAAAAATTAAAAATGTTTTTGCAACAAAACAAGTTGCTTTCTGTAATATGTTTGTTAATTAATTCCTATTATATGATTATATTCATTAATTTTAGGCTAATTAATCCTAGTGATGAAGTTGTAACCAACATTCTAACTATTAGGAAGTTGTAATCAGACAATTATTACTATTTTAATAATCCTAGTGATGAAACAATATCATTTCTTATATATATATATATATATATATATATATATATATAATTATATATATATATATATATATATATATATGCGGTGCAGTTTAAACCGCAACTTTGAAATTGAAAACCACAAACCGCACTGCATAGTGCGGTTTAACGTTATAACAAACCGCACCACAAAAGTTGTAAACCACATTATGCAGTGCGGTGTGGTGTGATACAGGCAGTTTATGCGTTTTGTGCACACCTTTATTGTGTACATTTAAAAAGACATTTTTGTCGTTATAATTAACTTTTTCATTTTTTATTAACTTGAAACAATAAACAAACAAATAAATAACTAATAAACCCCTCCCCCCCCCCCCCCCCTCTTCCCGTTTCTATTTTTATCAGGATACAAAAAACTCATTCATCAATCTCCACCCTCCGGCGAACCCTCTATCTGGAACAACCGTCGGTAGTCGCATATCTCATCGAAACCATTACTATATGATCTTTCATCCTATTATATCTCTCATGCACTTCGCCCCCATCACATCTGCCATATATTTTGTTGTCGACGTAGCTAGGGTTTACAAACCCTAAACCACAAAACTATTGGTCAAGTTAGAGTACCTTGTGACTATCATCGGCGCCTCCAAATTCGAATTTCAGTTCACCATTTTCGAGTACTCTTCTGCCAAGCCTTAGTTTCCGGTTTCTAAGGAAATCAATACACCCTTCATTACCGACTTATGATGAAGTGTGAAAATGGTGGATAATCATGTTGGTGTTGGATCTCGACTGATAAGATGGTGAAGCAAGGTTAATGATGGTGGTGCATGTAACATCCCAAAATTTAAGACCAAAAATTTCATTTTTAGATCATTAAATAAAATCATAGTTATCAAAATCTTCTTGTCAAAATGTAAATCATAGTATCTCAAACATTATATCAAGAACACATGTCAATATATCATAGCAAAACATCCCAGACTAAACAAAATGGTGTGTCCATGGCATTCATCCCGAGCTCTTCTCCTTACTACCGGAAGTACCTGAAACCAAAACTGAAAGTTGTAAGCATGAAGCTTAGTGAATCTCCCTAAACCACCACATATCATACACATTATCACATAATTACATAATAATATATCATGGGCCTTGCCCGCTTCATTGGGCCCCGCCAGCATCGGATAATGTCCGGCACCGGGCCCCGCCCGACATCGGACAGAGTCCGGCATCGAGCCCCGCCTGGCATCGAGCAAAGCTCGGTATACATAAAAAACATATCAACAAATACACATAAATAGTTACAATACATAAACATATAAACATTCCCCGAGCCTCGCCCGACATCGGACCGAAGTCCGGAAGCATACTAACATTCCTCGAACATTGTGTGACATCCCCAAAATCTCGGTTAGAAAAGACCGATTTCATTTGATTTTAAAATAATTTCAGAGTAAATCATTTCGATTTAAAAGAGTTGCGGAATTTGTTCCCAAAACAAAATATGATTAAATAAAGTTTATCAAAGCATTTCATCAAGAGATGCATTTTCATTATATAACAATATTCGGGATGTCATGTTTCGATAAACAGATCAAAAGCATAAACAACAAAAGATAGACCATACAACAGTTACATAGAACAACTGGTCTAATATCAAAATATATTGATAAGTCATCCAACTTATGCTCTTGCGCCACTACCTGTAATACAACAAAATTGAGTGGGTCAAGTTTGGGAGCCTGGTGAGCATATAAGGTTTTCAACCCACAATAAATAATTATATTTAATTTTCACCAACCAACAATAACCCGATTACCCATTCCCATTATCGTCACTTTACATCCCTAAAACAACATCTATTACAAGGGACCTAATGTAGGTTTTTCATCGGGACAGACTTTACTGCAAGGGGTTTCCTCAGCAATAGATGTCCTAAAGGCAACCATTAGGGGGATAGAGTACACCAGTGAACACATCGTTCACAACACCTACAGGTTATGAACATGTCAGCGTTCCACAAGACTGTCTAGAAAGAGTCTGTGGTCGTCATCCATACTCCGCTAGATGACTAGGTCAACAACAACAACATCGAGGCCTCTTATCTGTTTATCACACATCAACTATCTACCCAAGTTCTACCAAACATTTTGTAGATAACAATATACAAATGCATACATATGCAACTTAAAAACTGATAAGATATTCATTTAATACTCATTCCAAATATACAGATTCATTCCAAGTAACAGATAATATATATCTATATACACATAGCACGTATTCACTCGGGGATACTTTATATCTATGTGTTAGAAGAAAAGGAATATACATTCACTTGATCAGAAGATGATCAGACAGCACTACGGCTTGCAGAAGTAGTATTCTTCGGTAGATCTGGAAGATCTTCACACACCGGACTTCTCGTAGGCAGAACTTCGGCTCGAAAACTCTTTTCTTCTCGGGATCTTCGGGCTTTGGGACTCGCTTTGGGTCTCGGGATGATACCAGGGCTTCGGGGAGTTAAAATAGGGCTTAGATAGGGTATCGGGAGTGGGAGAGTAAGAGAATAGCAACCAAAATCGGTTGCCCTTCGATTTCTATTTATAGGGCTGAAATACTAAATTCACGTCGTGAAATCTCAAATTTCACGTCGTGAGTTCAGGCATTTGTCATTGCGTTTGTCATCAGTCCACTTGCTCTAGAAGGCTCCAGAAGGCGTCAGTACTGAGTTCACGTCGTGAACATTGTTTTCACGTAGTGAACTCTGACACATTGTTGGGGTTTGCGCCCCGAACTTTAGAAATTCATAACTTTCGCATACGAGCTCCGTTTTTAACGTTTTTCTTCCACGCGTAGGTAAAAACAAGATATACAACTTTTGTTTAGATTCCCTCAGCTAATTTTGACTTTATTTTTATTATATATTTATTATATTATTTTTAGTAGGCCAGAACAGGAAAACTCCGTTAGAAAATCATAACTCCTTCGTCTAACGTCCGTTTTCGTCTGTCTTTCTGTCATTGCACTACTATTGATGAGATATTCAATTCTCATTTAGAAAGTTTTGGCTAAATATCGCTCGATCTCATATTTGAACTTCGGGTTGTCTACTGCTAAGCTGAAACTTCGAAAAATCATAACTTACTCATACGAAGTCAGATTTGGGCGTTCTTTTTATGTACGCTCTCAATTTAACATATTCTACGACTTTCATTTAGACCACTAAGGCTAGATATCGCTCTATCTTAAATTTGTATTTTACGTCATTTAGTGTCGTGTCGGTTCTGTCGCGAAACTTCGACAGGTCATAACTTCTTCGTTATAACTCGGATTTTGGCATTCTTTATATATTCGGAAAGCTCGTTACGACCACTACGTCTTCATGTATCGATATTGGGCTTATCTAATATTTCATTTTAACTCATATTTTTATCCTTAATTTATTTAAGTCACACAATTAAGCACAAAGCACATAATATTCAAATAATACATCTTTATTATTTCAAGATAGGTTACAAAGGTTAACCTAGACTATTACATTGCTATTAATGACAAGCCCAGAAACACAGACGTTACACATTGCCCAAAATCGAACCGGAGTACGGTAACATACAAAACAGACACATGCAAGAATCACGGAAACATCAAGCATACAAACATTTTTCGGACACTGCCCAACATCGAATTGATTCCGGAAAACATATAAACCTACATTGGGCACTGCCCGGAATCGGACCTTGGTCCGGAACATACTAGCATACATATACGGGCTGGAATTGGAATCAATTGGTGCCTTCGACCCGTTTATACAAGAGGAAACTCACCTTGAATGTCGAGTAATTGCTGAAACATCTCTGCCCTGGAAATCGGCTCTACTCACTCCCTGAACCAAAAAAACCACTTAGATTCCCTTTCCGTACTCATAACCCTTAAGGGTCAACTTGGTCAAGTCAAAGTCAAAGTCAAATTCAACGCTAAGAGTTGACTTAACTCATCGGGTTTATCCTTCAACTCGCTGAGTTTCCTTAAATTACAAAATCGTGAAATCGCGAACCAACTCATCGAGTTTTCCTCCAACTCGTCGAGTTCTTCCCTCTTAACAGAATCGGGACTTTCTCAGTTCAACTCGTCGAGTTCCCCTATGGGCTCTTCGAGTTCCTTCAGTCTTCAGAAAACCGAGAAAACCCTAACTAACTCGCCGAGTCATCTCACATACTCGCCAAGTCTACTCAAGATCAGAAGGATCGGGGACCATAATCTAACTCACCGAGTTGAATAATCAACTCGTCGAGTTTTCCTAGTCTTGACTCATGCAGTCACTTCCAAGTGATTCTAAGGCCTAAAAATCATAGATCATGTCCCCTATGGCTAAGATACCACGTAAAGTTGCTAACTTTACGTGGCATGCATGATGTCAAGTAGCTAAAAACACTAAAACCAAGCTTCATAAGAGACCTCGAGCATGGAGGAGGCCAAGACTTGATAAAGCTGGCAACTTT